GCTCCACCTCTGGACTTCCTGTTATATGAGATAATACACCTCTTGCTGATTAAGATCTTGTAATTGAAACAAGCTCCCTTCAGATAGATTGCTTTTCAAACCGTGTTAACATAGTGGTTTCTGATAAGGGTCACTGAGGTTTTGTAAGCTGCTAGAGTCCACAGGCACATAAGGTATTACGGCTTGACTGCATAAATAAGGATACAACTTTTGAGTTGTGGAATTCTACAAATTTATTTTATAATTATAAAATAGGGTGCTTTGAGAACAAAAAGTAGTGAAGCAGCTGATATTGAGTCCTGGAAAATAAAGTTTATATTTTAGATAAAGTCTTTAACTAGGTCTGGACTTCTCCAGTCCCTATACAGGAGTCCTCAGGCAAAATACTTAACCTTATTAAACTTTAGATGCCTGTTTGCAAAATGACAAAAATCCCATATTGACTTGCCTCTCTAGGAGTGTTAGTATGAGGCTGAAATGAGATATGGTAAGTAAAAGATCTTTGTAAATAAGAAAAGCACATTCAACATGGAAGAGGTGAATGTGTTAATAAGAGATGACTATTAGCTAAAGCTAATAATTTATTCATTCATTATGCTCTCCCACCTCCACCCATCTTCAGGATTGGTTCTTTGCCACTGCTTCCCAGGCAGTAATTTGAGGAACTTTCTCCTTTTCTAAGTTTACCAGGTTTTTTTAAAATTCACTTTCAATGCTAATAGTACTTCAGCATGAAAATGTCAGCTCTTCAAACCTTGAACCCCTAATTTATGCTAGTCATTGTGTATACAGAGAGGATTATAGCTGATTATTCCTGTCTCATCTGTAAATTAAAGACTGGAAAATGACCACATCCTCAGTTCAAAGGCTTCTAATTCATAAGTTTCATATCTAGCATTGTAATAAAAAGTGCAGACACATTTTCTATTAAAAATGCAAGCAGTTCTTGAAGAAAAAAAAACAAAAAAATAGATGCAAAACATATTTGTTCTTTTAAAAAGTCACTTGAAACTTAAATCACAAAACAGAATACTGAAAAACAGAATACTAAGACTTAACAGCCATAGAGGTAGGAGGTGAGCCATTTTACCTCCATGAATGTCAGCTGCATGAACCTTAGCAGAAACATGCAGGAAGAAGGAGAAGAAGATGACTGTTCATAGGAAGTAAAATTAAGCAGGTATGGTATGCCCTATGGGAGAATTATAATAAGAGGGTGAAGTTCGCTTAAGCTGGGCACGGAGCCAAAGCAGAAATATATACGAATATACATACTTACATTTGTACATGTATGTGTCCATAAATATGTACCTGCAGAGATATATATATATATATACATAAACATAAATATAGACATACACACATATATATGAACATATACATACATATATAGTATTTAAATTTTTATAATTACTGTATAGACTAATATTAATAATACTAGAATACAAAATAAAATTGTTGCTAAATACACAACTTCATATGTCCCTTATAACGTTGAGGCTTATATAGGGCTTATTGGGTTTTTTATCTGAATAAAGAAAGGGAAGCTCACAAAGATTAACTGATTTATCCATGGTTGCAGAGCTAGTCAGGTTTTTTATTCTTTAAACAAAAAGAGTATGATGCTTTTTATTTTTATTTTTACAGAAAGAGTTTAATTTAAACTGGTCAAGTCTGAGTTGGGATATCAACTGATATGTAATTTTGGAGTAGGAGTCCAGGGTTCATGCCCCTCTCTATTCAGGGTCGTAGAGTCTCAATGTTTCCAGGGATCTTAAAGTGGTCTGGTGTAACCCACCTTTAATTTAAGGACTAATCCTCCATTTAATTAATTAGTTGATCAGTTCATCATTTCATACTCTAAAAACTGAAAAGAAATAGAAAAATAGTAGCCAGTTAGATATACCAATTTTTCACCATTCCTTCTCACAAAAAAACATTCACGATGCTCAAAACACAATAATCATCCTAGTATCTTGCTTTCATTTGCTGTAGTTCACAACTGACTATTTTGTATCATGCTAATAACATAAAATATAAAATAATAATAAAAACATGAATTATATAACTCCTGAGAGGAAGAGTACATTGGGTTCTTGTGCCTCAGCTTTGACAATGACTCACTGTGTGACCTTGGGCAAGTCACTTATTCTTTCTGTGCCTAGTTGCATCACCTGTAAAATGAAGGCATTGAAAGAGATGCCACTTGAGGCCCTTCCTACTTAGATTCTACACCACTCTGAGAAGCCGAGTGGAGAGAACAGTGTCTCCAAGCAAGGGTACAGAATGAGTGGTCTCTGGAAGTTTCTTGTCTACTTATAAGTTTTCAGTGAAAAATATCAAGGGTTGGGCAAAACCTCCATGTTTATTGAGTTTTCATCAACACTGTTGACTGCATTTGCTATTGTGGGGCCTGGTCAGATGTTGACATGGCTCAGCCAAAAATAGTTTGAGAAATCTAGGCTAACCTTGGAAAAATCTGTTTTACCATAGTAAACTTTCAATCCCATTAACAGAATTTTTCCTTTCCTGATTTCTGTTCAGAACCACCCAGGGCTCTTACTCACTTTCCTCTTACTTCATTCCTTTGTTCCTCTTCCTTCCATTAATTATATCATGTCATTCAGATGCATTGGGTCATAGGCTCTAGATCATTGAATGTGACTGCCTCCCACACTTCATGGATTAGCATTGTTCTAGCATATAAGCTAATGTGGTATAAAAAGGTGATGAGTAATGGTGAAGAGAATGGTAACATCTTAGCCCCAATGAACTGTACAGAGCTGCATTTATATGCACTTCAACATAGTGATGTATTGAACTCTGTGTGTGTGTTTTCTGTATGCCTTATCTAACTTAAATGTATTTGGTGTGAATTTAATGCATGAATCTTTAGTATTTGAGTCAGGAAACCTGGGTCTGGTCATGGCTTTGGCACTGGCTAGCTATGTTTAACCTGGACTATTCAAAGTAACTGTTTGTTTCTTGGCCACTCTCATCTAGGGCGTGGGACTTATGATTTATGTGGTGTCAATTCCACTAAGATTTTGGGAGGATCAAATCGAGGACATGTCATATGTTGGAATAATTCTAGGCATGGCCTGATTAACTTCAGTGGGATTTAATGACTGGGAGAGGCTGGAACATGGGATTCTACCCACCCACTGGGATGAGACAATGGCAAGCAGGAACTCAATCACAGATCATGCAGTTAGAAATTTTAGGCCAGCCAACCTAGTTCAATATTTATAGGAAGGTTATGATGAAAGGCAGGTGAGGATTAAGTTAACCTGTTCAGCTGCTAGTGAAGAATATGGATTTTAAAGTTTAACAGATCTGAGTTTAAATCTTTCATTTATTAACTTTGTAAACTTGAGTCAGTTCAGGTTGAGCATTCCTAATCTGAAAATCTAAAATCGAAAATGCTCCAAAATCTGAAACTTTCTGAGCACTGACATGGTGCTCAAAGGTCATGTCCAGAGAAAGTGCTCACTAGAACATTTCACATTTTAGATTTTCAGGTTAGGAATGCCCAGCTGGGAAATCTACATGCAAATATCCCCAAATCTGAAAAAATCTGAAATCCAAAACACTTCCTGTCCCAAGCATTTTGAATAAGAGATACTCAGCCTATACTTAATCTCCCTGAGCCTCAGTTCTCTTATCTGTAAAATGAAAGTAACATTTTTCCTATAGTATAATTGTGAGATAATACATATAAAGCACTTGGAAAGCTCCTGGACACAGTAAGCTATATTGCTGTTATTATTAAGCTGTTAGCATTTCAGGTGTTTGGCATTAAATTTTGGGGAAGTGCTTTCCTATAGAGGAGTTTGAGTATTATGGTAGGGGGTTGAGAAGACAATATTTGGGCATCCAGTCAAGTTTACAGCCTCAGAGAACTCTATTATCAAGGAATTAGGCTCTGCTTAAGGTTCCAGGGCTGGACTCTAGGCTGTGGGGTCATGGAGAGGAAGCAAGCAAAACCCCAGGCTCAAATGGGCTGGGATTTTATTCAGGTAAATAAGACAGGGGACCAAGCAGAAGTCTAGTTAGCTGCACTGGCTACAACAGGTGAAACATAATCTTAAGAAGGGTGGCTCATGGGGAGCCCTGGACACAAAGCTGAGAAGGATTTAAATCAGCAGCTCAGAAGCCTCAACAGCTAAAAGAACATGGCAATCAAGAACTGTCTGGGATCTGATGAAAAGTCTTTGAAGACCATTTAAAAACTGCACAGTGCTAAACTTAATGTAAGATGGTATTAGTGTTTGCAGAAGGAATGCAGACTCAGTTTCTTCTCAGGAGAAAAAGGAGCATTGACAATGCTGACCTGTAACATCATCAAAACACCTGCAAGGAAGCATCTATTGAAAAAGAATGCAGATAGGCAGATAGCAGTCATGGGAGTACGCTCCTGAGACACCAAATATTGGGTTATCATATGATACTCTTCTATAAGGTAGTTTCTGCATGTCAATCTGATAAGACATGTTTGGCCTTCATTTCTTGTTTCCTCAAAGGGAACATTGACTTTGAATCCCCAATGAATTAAACCACATGGATAGGCACTGACAAGCACATGTCCCATTTTTCACACATCATAAAGAGAATTGTAATTTCCACCAAATACAACTCCTTTATTTAACAGATGAGGAAACTGTAGTGTAGTGAAAAGGAATTCTGGCCTCCTCTCTTACATGTGTGACCTCTTGCAAACTATTTAAACTCCCTGAGCTATAGTCTTTTTTTTTTTTAATAGAAAAAGAAGATAATTGCACCAGTATTCACAGGATTTTTGTATTGATCAAATGATATATTGTGTGTGAAAGCATTTGTAAGTAGTGAAGTATAATTCATAGGTAACTGACTAATTGGTTGGTAAGATTCCGAGATATATTTTGACTGGAGAATTGGTCTATTTCCTGGTTGTGGGAATGTGTTGGCTGCTATTAACTGCCTTCCTAAATTCCATTATAAATCTAAATACTTCCTTTTTGTTTTTTTCAGGATCTTTAACTTTATTAGCAGGTACTGAGCTACAGAATACAAACCAACTGAAAATATTAAAGAAAGGCTGCTTGAAACAGGTATGTACAGGTATACTACACAGAAGCGAAAGCCATATCCAATCCCAAAGCCACCCCTGTGGGGAAGGATGGCCTTAGCTATGCGCCAAAGGAGTACAGAAGTTACAACATGAGAGTCCCATCCACCCAGGAAAGCAGTGAACAGCTACAGCTGCATGGGCACCAAAAATTTATCTGAGATTAGTTTTAAAGGTTCCATGAATCAGTTTTCAAATGAAAACAGGTACCCCTCTTTTCCTGTAGGCTTTCCAGCTCACTACCCAAAAGACTTGAGTACTTCTATTAAGGCAGCTGGAAGCCCACCTTAGACTTGAATGGCAACCTGTCCTATCTTTGCCAGTAATACAATCCAAGAGAATATGCTATGGGAAAAACAGGAATTTCCACAGTGCTGCCCTCTGGTGAAAGGGAAATACAGCACTCAAAGCAAAAGGCCACAGAGGACTCCCTGAGAATCCAGTATAACTAAGCGAGGCCTTCAATTGTTGAGACAAACTTTGCAACTGGATCCCAGTGGGACAGTGCCCTGCGGCAAGGAGTAGCGTATATGCCAATGAGAGGGCCCAGCTTCCAGGAACCGTTACAATGGCGTCCTGAGTCATTTTCTCTCTCCCAGTCACATTAGAGCATGAGAAAACACACACCGTGGACTTGATTTTCATTCACCACAGTCTGCCTGTACAGATGGGTTTTTTCCTAAGTCTGGAACCTCAACACGAGGCTGGGACATTTCATGATGTGCTCTCTCCCACTGTCCAGCCATCTTTGGTGGTCTCTCCACAGTGCTTCCCATCCTCTCATGCTCCCATGGAGGGACCGTGGGACAGGCCAGGAGGAAACCTGGGATCGCTCTGACAAGAAACCTACAAGCACAGCTGCCAGGAGCCAGCTGCTCCGGCCTCAGTCTCCAGTTGTTAGGATCAACAGAGAACTGGAAAGCAGCAGAATCTGGAGGAGCAGGAAGAGAACCCAGAGGAGTGTTGTGCTCAGTGACAGTTAACAGATGAAACGGAATTTCATGGAGATTCTTTGTTACAAGGAGAGATTGCTCAGTCTCAACTCCCAGAATGTGAAAGTTGCCTGGTTTAAGAGACCTGTGTTTTCTTTTTCAGCTCTTCAAACCTCTGTGAAAGATCATCAAAATCAATGTGTTCAGAGGCTGAGGTGTTGGCACCAGCAGATGCAGTTGGTAGTGTGTCTGGCACAGACGGCAACTCTGGTAGGACAAAGTTGTCATAGTGATCCACAGGTCTGGAAGGAAGCTTCACAGAGGCATCTGGTTTGGGTCCAGGACCAACAATCTGTGCAGAAGAGATATTTTTATCAGCATTAATGTCATCAACAGATTCATACGATGGGGGAGTTGCTGGTATCTGAGGTGGATGAATATTGGGAAAGGCCTGGTAAGTCCCCACTGGCAATCCATTGAAATCAGATGGTCCCTTTGGCAGTGGATATGAGAAAGGCGTATTTGCAGATGGCATGGGCATATGCATGGGCATGGGCATTGGCACTGTTCCATCAGGTCCACCAACTGGTGCTGTGAAGCCACCACCCCCTCCTCCTCCTCTTCCAGGGCCTCCTTTCTTCACATCAATTGTGAACCCAACATCAATAAGATCTGTCTCTACCCCAGGTGGGGCTTCTGCCATGACCACAGAGTCAGGCTCATAGGGTACATTGTAATTCTTCACAATTTCAATCAGGTATCTCTCCACCAGGATTTTAGGTGGGGCTTCCACACTCAGTTTGTGCATTAGCCTGTCATTCACAGTTCCAATCTGGTTGGTCCTACATAACGTGCCATATTCCTTGCTATACTTGGCACAGAGCTGATCAGCAGCTATTTTCAACTCAGCCACCCTGACTGGAGTCGAGGAGCAGCCCAGATCAGTGTAGACACAGATTCAGCCAGACCAGAATCTAGCTCCTTCATAGACTGGATAAGGCCAAACCGAGCCAGCAGCAGATCACAGTACAGCTCCAGGATCTCCATGGCCTCCACAAGGTGGTCTTCCTGGATAATGTGCTCCATACGGATCCAAGCTCGTTCATCTTTCCCAGCAGCCAGATAGTTGGCAATCTCCTTCCTTGCTTTCTGCGCCAGTTCCGTTTTTTTTTTCTCCAAAAGTTTAAGGTGATTTATGACTAATCTCAAATTGACTCTTAAGCGCTCAGCTTTAAATCCAGAGCCCAGAATGCTGTGCTGTTTCTCCGGATCGAATCCAGGTGCAAACACTGCAGACTCTGACTTCAGAATCACGGTTCAGCATCCAAAATGGCGGCTCTCAAGGCCTCAGCACAGCCTAAATCCTTCCTTTTTCCTGTCTATTCTCTTTGACTTGTGCTCCTCACATTTCAGGTTAATGAGAATTACCTTGTATTCATATGTAATTACCTCAGGGAACTTGCTAAAATGCAACATTTATAGCCCTTTCGCAAGAGATTCTGAGGTAGTAGGTCTAGGTTAGAGCCTAAGATTCCAATACTAGTGGGCCATGGAGCTCAGTTACAGAAATTTGTGCCTGGTGAATTGTTTGCTTATTCAGTGCCTGGCTGCACATGTTGTAGCACAAGGGTTCAAAGCTGGGAGTCTGAAAACCTGGAATTCATTTCCGGTTTTGAAACCAACATGATTACTGGTACAAGGTAGAAGTTCAACAAATATTTATCTTAATGAGTGTATTAACTGACTTGTCCTGTGACCTTGTATATCTCTTTCCCTCAGTCTCTTCATTAGAAACATGAAAAGATTGAACCAGATAACTTCTAATTTTTTTTTTTTTTTTTTTTTGAGACAGAGTCTTGCTCTGTCATCCAGGCTGGAATGCAGTGGTATGATCTTGGCTTACTGCAACCTCTGCCTCCCAGGTTCACATGATTCTCCTGCCTCAGCCTCTCAAGTAGCTGGGATTGCAGGCGCCCACCATCACACCTGCTTAATTTTTGTATTTTCAGTAGAGACAGAGTTTCACCATGTTGGCCAGGCTGGTCTTAAATTCCTGACCTCAAGTAATCCACCTGCTTCAGCCTCCCAAATTGTTGGAATTACAGGCATAAGCCACGGCACCTGGCCAATAACTTCTAATATTCTTTATAGCTTTGAGTGTCTTTGACCCTTCTACCTCTGAGGACTGCTGTGGAGACAAGCAATAGCTTCTAGAAAGTTGTTTAAGCATCTTGAAAAGCTGCACTTATTTTTTTCAACAAATAAATAATTTTCAGTATTATGATTTCATAGCTAAATTGGCATCCTGTTGACTTGTGTTAATGCAATTTAACAGTGTGACTAATTTCATCTGATCAAATTGTAGCAAAAGGCAAAATACTGTGGGTTAGTTTCTTAAGATATGATATGTACTTTTTAGAAATTTGAAAGTAACTCCTTAAAAAATCTGCACACCTTTCTCATGTGATTAGCAAATAAGCAAGTTCTAGCTCAAGTTCATCTACAGTTCTGGGATTCAGTAATCTAATTCATATTTAAAGCACCAAAGACTAGGAAAAAGTAAAACGAAATTAGTCTGATAAAACTACTATCTTAGTCCAGACTCATCTTTTACCGTATTCTCCAAATGGTTTTCCCTGATCTTTCTATTCTGATCTATCCTTTGTTCTGCTTTCATGACTCTTTCCCCAAAACATCTTTTTTTTCTTTTATTTCTTTTTAATTTTCACTCTTCAAATCTTCAGTGCCTCTCTCATTAGAATTTTGGGATGACATTCAGAATGTCTCATCTCTCTATGTTCGAACTCATCCTTTTTCCTGCTGTTACGCCTCTCTTCAGCAACAGTGGAGTTCTTGAATTTGTGATCGTCCATTGTGTATTAGTTCAGCAGTTCCCTCATTTGACTCTGTTTCTGCTTCTCAAAACTTAAAGCCTGATTCAAATGTCACTTCCACTTCGTGTCCTTTGGTTGCTCTGCTTGAATTAAACTTTCCCCTCCAAAAATCCACGTAATTTTGAGAACAGTAAGACTCTACCATGTGAAAAAAAGGAAGGTCACTTGAGGCAAAAGGTGTAGCAAAGACTAAAACATAAACTCAAAAATAATTATATGTTATAAATTTAAGTATTTACTACATATCATTAATAGTAATATAACACTAATAATATGTACACACACCAGAATAGAGGATCAAAATATACAGTTAAGACTCATGTACTTACCATCTATCTTCAGAAGTTGATATTACCAAATATATTTAAGCTCCTAGATCTCAGAGCCTCTCTTATCTCCAATAGTAGCCACTATCCTGAATTGTCTGTTTGTGATTTCTTTGCCTTTTTTGCTTTTCTCTTACGTATGGTCACCTAAACAATTTATTTAGTTTTTTTGTGTGGAATATAATGTATAAAATTTTTATATGGAATATAAATAGTGCATTTATATTTCTGCTACTGGTGTTTTTGGCTAATGTCACACTTGTGAGATTTTGTCCATGACTATCTATCTATCTATATCTATCTATATCTATATCTATATCTATCTATATCACAGTTTTATTGCCATGTATTATTCTACTGTTTGAATAAATCACAATGTACTAATGTAAATCTTTTATTGACAAACATTTGCATTGATTTAATTTTTTTCTTTTTCTCTTCTTTTGGAAAAAAATTTATTTAAATATTTTTATACACATTTCTCAGTGCAGAGGTACAAGGATATATTTGAGATGTATACATAGGATTTGCCTTTTTTTTAGGTTGTGTGTACTTTTTGACTTCGATGGATAGTGTTGTTTACCACACCGTTTTTCAAATGGCAATTAGTAATGCTTAAACCTTTGTGTTTAGCAATACTATTGGGAAATAAAGCTGTAAACGAAGGTTAGAATCAGACTGTACAGTAAGTTGACATGCCAAAGCATTTGGATTTTATTCCATAGGTAAAGAGAAACGATCAGTTTGACACCCCATAGGTTACTTACTTTATCTGAATCTTCAGTAATTTTGGGACAATATCTTCCTCACAGACTTGTGAAGATCCTGATATGTAATAATTGATACTTGTATTATATGTTAGTATTAGAAAAAATTGTGAACTAGGTGTGACATAAACAGATTTGTATTTTAGAAAGCTAATGGCAACTGGGCATAGAATAGATGTTTGCAGAAAAACAGGAAGCTATTGTGGTCATCTAGCTGGCAGAAAATCTTCGTTAACATTTTAAGATCTAACTCCAGGTTTCTCATTCTTGGAACCATTGAAATTTTGAGCTGGATAATCTTCTGCTTTGTGGGTGTTGTCCTGGGGATTGAAGAAGATTTAGCATCATCTCTGGTCTCTATCACTTGATGCCGATAGCCACCTGCCCCCTACAATTGTGACAATTAAAAATGTCTACAGACATGGCCTGGGGGATAAAACCACACCCATTTGCGAATGGCTGATCTAATTCCAGTGTCAACTCCTTTATGAAAGCTTCCTTGTCTCCTTTTAGAAAGATTGAATTGTTCCCTTCACAAATACCTGTAATGGCATCTCCTCACATAGTGTTAGAATTATTTGTAGACTTTTCTACAAGACTAAAGTTCTTGAAAACAGCAATTAATAACTTTTGTATTTCAGTAATTTAGAACATGGTCGTAACTAATGTCAAGGTTTAAGATATAAGTTGTCAAATAAATGATTCAACAATGATTTTGAGGTAATATGGGAAGAATCAGGTAAAAAAAAGAGTTTTCCAGGCAAAGGAACTAGCAAGAGCAAAGTCTCTGAGTTAGTAAAGAGTTTTGTGTCTTACAAACAGTGTAAGCAAGTGCAATTAGAGCCAAATATGCATTGAATGAAAGTAGCACATGATAAGAAATTAAGTAGATGAAAAAAGAATTGATCTTTAAACGGCTATGCTTAGTGACCGTCAGTAGAATTGTGGGAAAGAAGCTAAACTGAATTTGTGGAATAGTAAACGAATGAGAGAAGTAAAAACCATAAGTAGATGCTACCCTTGCCAAGAGCTTGGCCAGACAGGCAGGGGACAGACAGCTGAGGTAATACAATATAGGAGAAAGATAAAGCATGTTTGTGGGTTAAAGGGAAAACATCCTGTTGTGGCAAGAACACAATAAAGAAATTTGATAAGGCAATGCATTGAAGATGTGGCAGTGGATGGAATGTAGAGAGGAGGTGGAAGATTAGCCTTGGAGTACTGCAGTCACTATTCGCCTGGGGTGTAATGGGGGGAGAAAAGTTGCCTGAAATTGTGAACATATTTTGAAATGAAAAAAGAGAACATAGCATGAAATTAGTAGCCTTTTCCATGAAGTTAAACAGAGTAGTGTTCATTTTCATTCGACAGATACTCAGCTTGGCATTGGTTTTTGTCAGGCAGTGTATTCTATGCTGAAGACACAGCAGTTCATGTGTCATGCATACAGAACTGAGTCACTGACAAGTTGAATTAATGATCTCAGGTCATAGACAGCTGATAAGTGGCAAAAATGGAATTCAAAATTAGATGCTCATGAATCCAGAGCGGAGTCTATTTTCTTAAAGACTGACCTTTGGTGTCTAGGGTTAGAATTTTGCAAATAGAGTTGTAGAAGTTATGATCATGAGGGACCTAAGGTAATATCATATGAAATATGTTTGAGCATTGAATTTATGTTGGGATAAAGAGATAGCAAAGTTAGAAAGGGATATTTCACAAAAGATAGCATAGAAGTAAAGAAGGGACCTTAGGTGTGATTAATGAGAAGAGCAAGTTGAGTGGAAGTTGGAGACCAGGAAAGACAGAAAGAAGGTGGTATGATCGGAGAGGATACTTTAAGTATTGTATCTTGGGGTTGAGCAGCTGTGTAATGATGTGGGCAATGATGGTGAGGCTATGCATATAGGTTGCTAAAGTAGAAAACTGAACAAAGAAAGCTTATACAAGAACTCAAGTTATACTTCAATTTGGGGTTAAAATAGTGCATGGCAAACAACCTCACGTGCCTCAATAAAATCCAGAACTGTAATTTGCCTAGTTTTTGAGGATAGATTAAATTATACAGATTATTTTTTATTCAAGGGGGCAAAATGTGTGTGTATAGATTCTTAGAATGTTTTCCTCCTGAACATGGATAAGCCATATAGCATGTAGGGAGCCAATTCTAAATTATTTAGAAATCTCGACCATATTAAATAACATATTGTCTAAGTGATTGCTTTACTGATACCACTTTCTTTAAAATTATTCCGATTCCATTTATGTGTATCTAATGTGTTAATCCCAATTGTTCAACTGAATCTTTTGTTACAGGTGTCCAAGTTGGCTTTATCTGTTGGATAAGGTGCGGAAATCCTCAGAT